ATTCAGCATATTTTGAAATACGACTTCAATGCGAAGGTGAAAATAAGTGAGGATGGCAAGAAATGTATTGGAAAATGAATCAGGAATAAGGAATGAGAGAGGCCAGAGACTTGTACACTACGTAAGAGCTTCATGGTTTTAGTTTCCCCATCTGCAAAGTGAGAATGACAGTGGTATTTACCTACAAAAGTTGTGAGTGTAAAATGAGATATTTATAAAGCACTTTGCACACTTTAAAGCTCTATGTAAGTCTAGCCATCATCATCATCATCATCATCATCATTGTTATTATCATGATCTTCGGCAAATCACCTAAATCTCCTGGGCCTCAGTTTCTTGATGAGGAAATTGAAGAGATTGGACTAGATGGCCTCTGAAGTCCCTTCCACCTCTTGATTTATGATCACACCTTTGTCTAAATGTTCTCTCTCCTCCTCTACCTAGCATTGCATTCTGCACATAACAGGTACTTAATAAACTTTTGTTGGATGAATGAATGAATGAAACAGTCATAGAATACTGGGACAGATAGATAATGGATCTTACCCAGTTTATCAGTTGTTATTTTTTCAGTCCATACGTGGAAACCTGCGGAAAGTTTCATCTATATGAATAGTCAGGTAGACCCTGACTAAATTTAGGAGGATATTTGAGGCTATACAAAACCATTAAGGTCATGAGTGGTGACTAAAACTAAGCTGAACAATCTTACCTAAGTGTTAATAGCTGCTTTCTTTTACATTTTGAATTCATAGAATCATAGGCTGTTAGAACTAGAAGGGTCAAGGGCAGCTAGGTGGCATGATGGATAGAGCACTGGCCCTGAAGTCAGGAGAACCTGAGTTCAAGTGTGGCCTCAGACCAAACATTTGATACTTACTAGCTGTGTGACCCTGAACAAGTCACTTAACCTCAATTGCCTGAAAAAAAAACACCAAAAAACAAAACAACTATAAGGGTCCTTAGGAGTTATTTAATACAATTTAGTTATTTACTGATTAGGACACTTGGTGTCCAGCTAGTTTCAGCAGCTTGCTGCCCAAGATTACATAGCAAAGTGTTGCCAGAATTTGGATTAGAATTGAGGCCACCTGACTTCTAGTCTAGTGTTCTTTACACTATACTTAGCTATTCTAAAACCCTGTCTTCCAAAGGAATTATCTGTTTTGTTTCATTTATGTGAAATAAAATGTGATATTACTATTGCTACAAACTTTCTTTTAAAATAAATTGATATTTTAATTAGTTTTGAACAACCCAAATAATTTGCTTACTTGGAAAGGGCACATTTATATCAATCCCAGAGGAGTGTATTTATTAGTTAACTGTAGATTTCTGCATGATATCAGTATGAGTATGTATTTGTTGTCAGTCGTTTTTTCTCTAGGGTTACAGTATTTCAAACCCCTTTCAGCCTATCCTATTTTGACCCCACCCCACTTCACAGCAACAAAAAGTACATTCCTATTTCCAGGAATGTTCAAAACTGAATTCATCTTTTTTCCCACACCCTTCCTCAACTCCTTATTCTCTCTCAACCCCCATAATCTTTTGCCAAATTCTGTCAGTTTTACCTTTATAACATTTGTCATATTCACTCCTTCTGTCTTCTGATGGTACCACTGCCCTGTTGGAGCCCCTTATCACCTAATGTTTGGACTGTTATAATAACCAAACTGTTTGTTGTTCTTCCTGTCTCAAGTCTCTCCCCATTCCTCAAATCTCATTCAACTCAGCTGTCAAATTAATCTTCCTACAGATCTGACCATGTCATTCTACTACTAAGTAAACTCCTGTGGCTCTGTATCACCTCTAAGTCACCTCCTACCTTCGTGGCTTACTACAATTTACTCTTCCCACATAGCCTTCAATCCAGTGACACTATCTTCCTTGTGTTACTCACATTAGAACCTCCTTCTCCAAAATCCAAGTATTTTCACTGGTTTTCCCTTATAGCTGGAATTCTTTCCCTCTTCATCTCTGGTCCTGGCTTTCCCAGCTTGCTTAAAGTTCCAGTAAAAATTCTACCTTCTACAAGAAGCTTTTTCTAAGCCTCCTTACTGCTAGTACCTTCCCTCAGTTCATTATCTCCAATATATCACATATGTATCTTGTTTGCACATAATTGTTTTCATTAGACTGAGTTCCCTAAGAGGAGGCACTTTCTTTGGCCTTTCTTTTTATTCCTAGCACTTAGCACAGTGCTTGGTATACGTAGGTGCTTAATACCGACTAATGAAATGTTTAGGAGAGTGTAAATAGCTAGCACTTATATAACATTTTAAGGATTGCAGAGTGCTTTACAAATATTATCTCATGTTATCATCACAACAAACCTAGGAAGTAGGTACTATAATTATCCCTATTTTACAAATGAGGAAAGTGAGGCAGAGAGAGTTTAAGTGACTTGCTCAGTGTCACACAGTTAATAAGTATCTTGAGCAGGATTTAAACTTGCATCTTTCTCACTCCAGGTCTAGCACTCTATTCACTGTGCCACCTACCTGCCTCATAATTGAAAATATATTTCAATTTCTAAGAAAAAAGTATAAATTCCTTTATCTTTATGTGAAACTTTCTCAGGCATATGAGTTTTAAAAGAAGTAGAAGAGAAAAGGAAGAAAAACTAAAGGAAATTCAACTCTGTATCCCTTTACATGTCTCATAAAATGCCAAGATTACTTCTCTGGTTTTTCATTAGTAGTCCTAGTAGAAAAATCATAAAAAGCACAATTAGTGTGCTTGTAATATCACCAGAAATTCTTTAGATTTATAATTTTGGTCTTCAGCACATTTATGACACAATTTAGCAACTTTAGCTAGATGATTTTATTGTATATTACCTGCAGGCAATGAAAAAAGTGCAGCCTATCCATCTTCTTCACAACTCTTCCCATGTCAGGTATTTATTAGGTAAGCTTCAGTGATTTATCAAAAACATTTCTAATATTTCAGTGCCTTGAAATAGTCATTTTTACTCTATTTGACATTAATTTGGTCTTTGAAGTTTTCTACTTTAGCTGCAGTCTTGGTATGGACAGGCAATACACTAATGACAAATAAGTGTATTTCAGTTTAAAATGTGCTGCATCTAATTCATAATCTCATAAGCCAAAAGAAGGAATGAACAGAAGGGAAGGGCTTTCTGGTGGGATGATTGAGAAAGATGTTATGTATAAGCCCAGCCTTCCTTAAAACATGAAGAAAGGATAAGGGAAAAGTACCCCTAAAAAGAAGCTCCTAAAGGGAAATTTTTAAAACAGCCAGCAAAAACACTGGAAAAAATGAACAAAAAAAAGATCATCATCATCATAATCATAGCATTTTTATAATCCTTTAAGATTTATAGAGCTCTTTATATATATTATCTCATTTGATCTTCACATTGACCCTGGGAGATAGGTACTGTTATTATCCTCATTTTACAAATGAGAAAACTGAGGCAAAAAGAAGTTAAATGACTTACCCAGAGCCAAACAGCTAGTGTCTAAGGTAAGATTCAAGGTCAAATGTTCCTGACTCCAAGTCTGACATTCTATGCACAGCACTATGTAACTGCCTGAAATAAAATAAAGAAATGGTGTGGAATAAGAGAACCCCAATATAAAACTCCAAAAAAAGATAATTTTGTACTAACTAAAATTAGAAGCCTGGAAAAGAGAATGAAATGACCACAAGAATTTTGAGAATGTTTGGGAGGCCTTATGAAACAAATGAAGGGGGAAAATGATCGAACTTTGAGCTCTTAAAGAAAAACTTGAAAGGAGGATTCTTAGAACAGAAGATGGAAAACCTTAGCAAACTAGTGGATCCCTGGGGGTGTGGGGAGAAATGGAGTAAATGAAACTCAAAAATTTAGTAACACAGGAAGAAATATTTGTGAGAAGTTAAAAGATGGGAAAGTAAAAGAACACATGAAGTATTTATAATAAAAAGTAATTGGTCTATTAATTAGTTAACCTAAGATCCATTGGACTCCCACAGAGAGATGATGATGAGAAACAACCTGTATTCTATATTTCAGGGAATCATAAAAGCAAATTGCTTAGAAAAATTGGACCCAAATGGCAAATTGCAGATTAAATGGATTCACAAAACACCAACAGATAGGAAAACTTTTTAATGCATCAAAAATGTGATTTCCAAGTTTCAGAATTCCCAGGTCATAATATTACAAGTGGCCAAGAAAAGATGCATCATATAGTAAAGAATCATGTAGTAACTCTCACAATAAAAGAGAATTATGAGGAAAAATTGAAGTATATTATACAAAAACATTAAAGAAAATGGTTTACACTTAAGAATAACATCCTGAAAGTTTTAGTGTAATTCTATAGAGAAAAAAAGTTATTTTTTTTTTAAAAATAAAAATTGGTGAATTTCAAGTATTCCTTTTGAGAAAACCAAAATTGGTCAGAGTCTTTGCAGTATAAATTCAGTGGACAAAAAGAAAGTCACCAAGAGTAAACAAGTTTGAATAATTCAGTAGGGTTAAGTGATTTAGTGATTACTTTCTGATTGGGAAAGAGAACGTATTTGTCCCTTTGGAGTACAACCTTGCCTAAAGGTCATTGAGGAAATGAAAAGAGACAGGCTCTGGGCTTGATACTCTAAAGATGGAGAGAGAAGGACAAGGCTGGGCCATAATTCATGTAATTTAGGTGCAATAAGCAAAGGTCATTCAAACAGACTTGGGTGATAGGGGTTGAGGGGGTGGGAAAATTTACCTTTTCAGGTCAGGTAAGGGAAGTGTAAAAGAGTTATCAAAGTACATTGAAGTAAGAAGGGAATTTGGCAGTGATGGGGGAGAAGAGGTGTACGAGCCAGAAAATAGGGTGAGGGAGGGGATTGCGTCAGACGAAACAAGCTAGAATTATAGAGGGCAAGAGAAAAGTGATCTGAGTTTGAGCAGAAAGGATGATAAAAATAGATTGTTATACAAATACAATTTAAAAAAAATATAAGATGCGGATACTTAGTGCTGTTTTTTTTCTTTTTAGGAAAAAAAGAGAATATGACAGGATTTTATTCTGGGAAAACAAACTTAATCATAACTGAATCTGAAGGTGATGAACTCCATACATTATAATGGAACAGATTAGAAAGCAAAACAGGTCAGTGTGGTCTATATATAAGAAACACACTTAAAAACAAAAATCCCTACATTGTTAAAATTAGACTGCAATAGATTGTATTGTGCCTCAGCTAACTCCAAATAACCAAGAATGTTAATCAAGATCTCAGGCAAGACAAAGATACAAGTAATACTGATGAGACAAGAGAATGAGTAAAGTGAGTAGTACTCCCTCTGGTTAACGCCCACCTCCAAATCACACTGGGTGATTAGATCCTCAGGGGTTTTACTAATTTGAATCCAAGGGTACTTTCTGTGTCTATATTCCTAAAACTATAGCTCATGAGCTCCCACTGATGTTTTTAATAATCAGCCAGTAAACAATTAGTTCATAGCAAAGGCATTTACTAAGATGGCATAAATGAGAACGGTAGCTATCAAACATTCCTACCATAAACTTGGGGCATACTTTCCCAATAAAACAGTAACAAGAGTGAATACATGCATAAAGTACATTGGTAGTGAGGACACATGTAGGGAATATGTGTGGCCAAGGTAATTCGTGCCTCTGGCACTGGAAGCCCCAATGCCCTTTCTCTCTTAGCGGTGTCCTCACGCTGCTTCCCCTTGGGTGCAGCTTCTCTGCTGGATAGATCACTCAGCTAGATTCCCCTCTCCTTCTGCTCTCCTGACAGCTAGAGCTAGTTCTCTCTTAAATTTATGGTTCTTTCTCTTTTCTGCTGTCAGAGGTCACAGTCCTAGGAGTTACCACCTTTGAGTCAACCCTGGACGTGTTTTTTTGCTTAATGCAGTGTCTCATCTTGCAATGTTTCTATCATAAGATACATAGTTGATGAAAGAGGAAGGAGAGAGAAATCCTTCCCTGCCCTTGGCTCTCATGCCCACTGGTAGAGGCTCAAGGGGAAAAGGAGATAGAAATCTCTTTCTTCTCTAAGGAGCTGAGTTCTTTTTCCAGAGGTGCCTTCCTTCTGAATTGCCAGAAGCATGCTGCCTACCTCTTGACAGAGTGGTAATGGACTGAAAATATAGACTAAGACTTAACATTTTTAGTCTTGGCCAGTATGGGATTTTTTTTTTTGCTTGACTATATGCATATTTTTCATAGGGTTTTCTTTAGTTATTGTTGTTTTTTATCTGCCTCATTTGGAGGAGTAGGAGGAAAAAGGGGATAGAGATGGTGTAGTTTAAAAAAATGCACAGAAGACCAGAAAAAAGCAGAGATAAGAACTTTGAAATTTAATATATATTTAAAAAGAAAAACAAGCTATGTATAAAAGATATTCTTTTTCTTTATACATACTACCTATATAGAAATGCCCATTTTATTTAATATTTAAGTTCAGAATAAAAATAAATAAATTTGCAAAAAGAAACTGAATACTGTGAAGCTAATATAACCAACTTTGATCCCAAAGAAATATGTGAGAGGACACCTCTTTCAGGTTCATTGCAGAGGTGGAGGACCATGGAATTATAACAATATATATATAATCACTTTTTTCAATTATTGGTTAGTCTTGATGAACTTTTCCTCCTCTTTATTCTTTATTATAATGGATGGCTCTCTGGGAGGGATAGGGGAAAGATATATTGGGAAATGTAGATAATGTAAAAGAAAAGATTCAGCAAAATTTTTTTTAAAACCAGAGGAGATACTGCTTGAGGAAATATATATGTGTGTATGTGTACATATGTATACACACATATATGATAAAAGCTTGACATCCAAAATCTATAAGGTATTGACACAAATATATGTTTGAGCCATTCCCCAATAATCAATTAGTCAAAGAATAAGGACAGTTTTTAAAAGAAGGAATATAAAATGGCAAAGTAGTTGTTTTCTTCTAACTTCTTGATACCAAAGACCTTTAAAAATGAAATTATGTACCAGATAGAATAATTAAAGCTGAATCCCTAGATAAGAAGACAGAAACACTGCATAAGGCAAAAAAAGAAAAGAAAAGAAAACAAGTAATATGAGGACTTAAATACTTAAAGCTCACATTGAGTGTTTCTAACTCTTCAACCCAATACACACACACACACACACACACACACACACACACACACACAACACACACACACACACACACGCATTCACGCTTGAGGAAAAAGGTCTGAAAAAGACTGAGGCTAGACTTTTCTCCCCAGAGTTTACCGTAGGCAGGGACCTGGACTATCCTACTTTTTATCCCAACATTATGAGGCTGAGAATTTTTAACTTGTGGGCTCTGTGTAGCAATGGACAAGAAAGGACCCAAAGAATGAGGAAGGTAACTAAAGGCAAAAAATTGTTAATGAGGCAGAAAGACCAAAATGCCAAGGTAGAAAAGCCTGAATAAAAAAAAGCTTCATAAACAAATAAATCAAGAGAGAGGTGACAGGCTCTTAAAGATACAAGGAAAAATGTATGAAAACTTATAGAAAAGTCTACAAACACTATGAGCAGATATTATAATTTTAAGGAAAATGAGCTGATACTTCCCAATCAAGATGAGAATTCTGCACATTCCCTAGTAATGGTGGAAGTTGTAAAAAAAAATTCCTGGATCATTCAAAAGAGAAATAAAATCTTCAAAAGAAGAAATTAGGAATAAAAATATAGGAAATCAAAACCCTCTTGCAAAATTAAAACAAAGCAGCAGAGGATGCAATATGGAGACATGATAGGTAATCTCTGAAAGTGTTCTTTTCATATTCAGATATTCTTGGACCACTTTCCCTCAGTCTCTCCTAAGTGCCCATCATTCTTTCTTTTGGATTATACTTATCCACTTATCCCTGTACTCCTCTACCCCAAGTCAGTAATATGAAATTGTATATGCCCCTAGGGGCATTATACACACACACATATTTACATATATGTGTATATATGTGTGTGTGTATATGTACAATGTATATGAAAATAATTGAATTTTTGGATCCCTGACAGTATTAAGAAAAGGATAGAAAAATACTTTATTTTACTGATAATTCATTAGTACCATCTGAAGTTATAGTTTTAAGCTTTCATTCTTTATCTGTCCTTATGGGTCAACTTGTAGAAAAATACTGGTTTAGAGCCAAATTAGCTCTAACAAGTATTTCTCCTCTATTCATAGTATCATATGCTTCTGATTAAGATTATCCTTAAGTCCACTGTAAAGATAACTGTGCATTTTAATTGAAGGTCACCCATCCATGTCTTCTTATCATATGCAATCCTTATTTATGTTCTCCCAAAGGTCCTCCATAGAGCTTCCACCTCATGTGCTATAGGGCTTCCTCTAGCAATTTTTTCGTTTCATTGATACTGGTTCAACCCTTGGAGAGTCTGTCTTGTTTTTGCCAAATGAGTAGCTCATTTTTTCTGATAATTTATTTTAAAATGAAATTACTTATACCACTTCTTATGGGTAGGTCATCATTTGAGCTATGTTACACCCTACTTATGCCCATCTGCATATAGCTCCATTGCCTTTTGGATCATCCACAACTTTTATTCCTCAGAGATTGTGGTGCTGCAATAATCACAAACTGACAGCCTTATCAGGAGAACATTTGAGTTAAAAAGATGGTGGGGTGGAGGGGTGGGGCTAGGGGGCATTTTTGGTAACAGGAAGCAGTATGGGATTGTTAAAAGAACTCAACAGTTTCATAAGTATACTCTGTAATGCCTCTTCTTCTTTTTAATTTTGGGCCTATTTATTACCTTTCTTCAGTACCTGCCATATAAGTGTATATTTACATATGAATATGTGTATGTATGTACATTGGTGTATTAAGTCAAGGAACTGATCTTCCAGTGGAATGTCATAGTCTGAAAAATATGTGTTTGTATCTATTTAGTTTTTCTATATGTGTGTGTCTGTGTGTGTGTGTATATACACACACACATATATACATATACACACACACAACACACACACATACATATATATATACATATATATATGTTATACACACACACACGTAATGAAAGGATTTGTTCTGTGAAGTTTGGATTCAGTCAAAGGGCCGCACTTGAGGACCTAGAGGGCCACATCTCTTGGATCATATTGAAGAGTTTCTATAATGTTGTAGAACTTGATGAAATCGGCACATTGTCATTTGTAAACTGGATTATTGGAAGGGACTTACCATCTATGGAGAATTTCTTTTTCTTTCAGACCTTGTATAGTTCAAATCCCAGCCACTTCCTATCCATATGAACTTGAGGAAGTTACATTTTCTTTCATGGCCTCAGTTTTCTTTTCTCCACCTTCCCATCTAACCCTAAATTTATGAAGCAAAACTGGAAGGACAGTATAGAGGAAAAACTTTTATAGTTCCCCTTTGTTGATTGTTCAGTCATTTCAGTCATGTCTGAATTTTCATGATTCTGTTTGGGGTTTTCTTGGAGTGGTTTGCCATTTTCTTTTCCAGTTCATTTTACAGATGAGGAAACTGAGGCAAACAGGGTTAAGTAACTTGGCCAGGGTCACACAGCTAGCAAGTGTCTGAGGCCAGATTTAAACTCAGAAAGACTCATCTTCCTGACTCCAACCTTGGCACTCTCTCCACTGAGCCACCTAGATACCCTCCTTACCTCTCCTTAAAAATCCTCTGACCTTTGGAATTCTGAGCTTTAACCAAATTTGTAAAATGTTGTTGTTTGTCTTGTACACAGCTGCATATTAACAGTTTGCTTGATTGTTTTACAGACTTGGGTTGTAATTCCCATTAAATATTTAAAATCTTATCTCTTGAGTTCGTAGAGTGCAAGTGTTTTTGAACCTATGAATTTGAACAGTTCAACCATAAATACCATGTGAACAGCGTATTTGTCATCAGTACAAAACTAGTCAAAATGTTTCATAGAGAAAAGCAGCTCAAACTAACCACCAGAGCTTCCCTGGAGTGTGTGTGCAAGCATGCATGCACACACACACACACACACACACACACACACACACACACACACAGTTCCAGTCTTCTGTTTTTAATTGACATGCTAAAAATGTGTGTGGCCATTCTCACTAAGAGATTCAAAACCAC